GCCCCTGCCCCAGCTCAAGGACTCCCTGTGACATGGAAACAGCTGTGTACAGGGCTCTGTAGCAGCTGGTATGAGGTCCTGTCCAACCCCCACCTCCCCTGATGGAATCCGGAGACTTGGCTGGGCTTTAGCCAACAGGAGGGAAAGAGGCCCTTGTCCATTTCTACCATGGGCTAAGGTTCTGTACAGAAAACATTGTTCCAGAAGAATGCACAAAAATTAAAATTTATAAAACTGAGGGCCGTGGCCAGCACTCCCTCAGAAGGTCAGATTATATAATGATCTAAAGGAACCACCAAGCCAAGCTGAGAGGAGGTAGGGGGTGGAGTGGGAGGGGGAGACAGGAGTGTGATTCAGTTCTGTGTTCTTAGTGTGCATTTGGATTGGACACTCTCTCTTTCAACGTGTTATTTACTGGCCTCCCAGTATATGTCAAGTTATGGCCTAGGAGCTACGGTGCCTGACTTCTCAAAGGTTCTTCTCCCTGGACTGGTGCCAGCTTTGAGCTTTAGTGTGCCCTATTCAGTCATCACTTGTTTCTAAATGGCTCACATAACAACTCTAAGTGCCAGACCCCAAGCAGAGGACAGTGGAGCCCAGGGAAGGGGGGTGTGCAGAACCACTCAGGAGGTCAGATTCTTGAGAAGGGGGCAGACACAGGAATCTGTTGGGGGTTCAAAGTGTCCCACGGGGTTTAGTGGGTGGTTTCCAAGGTTTGGAAATTTTCCTGAGGTAGGATTGTATTAACTAGCCCCTGGTAGATGAGCAGGTGTGTGTGTGTGTGTGTGTGTGTGTGTGTGTGTGTGTGTGTGTATGTGTGTGTGTGTGTGTAGGGGAGGGTACCCAGACAGCCAGGGACCTGATGCAGGTGGTTATGAAGGGTGAAGCTGGATGGGCAGAAGACATCTTGGGCAGGTACACAAGGGCCGATCAGGGGAGGCTATAGACAGGACACAGGGCAGTGCTCAGGGTGGGACAGGCCTGACCACAGGAAAGATAATGTCAGCTGGCAGCTATGGTTCAGGCTTTGACCATGGACCTAGCTGAGGAACTATGGAACTACTGACATGTATCACTAAGAGGTCTGGGTGATTAAGCAGGCTCCGCTCCTGCAAGGAGCAGGAAACCTTGCCTGCCTTGCATATGTACACTGGCAACAGCCCTCTCTGTGCCCTGACACCATCTTAGGTGCCACCAACCAGCTGGCTATGAGATTTGACACAGCCGCTATCCCTAGCCTGGCTTTGCCATCCATACACTGGAAACTTGAGCCAGGCAGTCCTCCCTGATCTCCCAGTGTGTCTTCTGTCAAGCACTCATCACTCCAGGCATGCAGGGGTGACCCATGCAAGGTCCTTACCAGGCTTAACCTAGAAGCACTAATGTTGTTGCTATATTATCAAAAGCAAGAAACAACAGCCTAGCTATCTGCAGGGGAGACTGCTGAGCGTACCCACATCCCACATCCGCAAGTCAGTTTTGCTTTGAGAACATCATCTTCTAGACCACCACCACTGGGCACGCTCCATGTCACTTCTGTTTCACAAGTGAGCTCTGTGGAGTCAGTTGTTATCCTGCCAACAGGGGAGAAAGCTGAGGCACTGAGATGCTGTGATTCTTTCCCACAGGCACTGAATGCACAGGTGTGACACCACAAATGAATAGATGGATGGATGGGGCTCTGACAGGCTCTTCCCTAAAAGGTGATCCAATGTCTTATAGAAGCCAGAAACTATGCTTAGCCTCCCTTGTAATTAGAGAGGCATATTTCAAAGGGGCGTTTCCTACCCATCAATTTGACCAGGATATAAGTGAGGGAGCATGTTGGGGAACTGCTACATTCATAGGTGACCATGAGCATTATAAACTAGGGTACAGCAGGGGAAACAGTTTAGTCCCTAGAAAACTTTGCTGTACAAGCATGAGGACTTGCGTTTGATCACTAGAACCCACATAAAAAAAAATCTCAGTGTGCTGGTACACACTTGTAATCTCAGTACTGGGGATGTGGAGACAGGTGAATCACTGGGGCTCTCTAGTCAGTCAGCCTAACTGATTGTGAGCTCCAGGACAGTGAGAGGTTCTGTCTGAAACAAAAATTGATAGCACCTGAGAGATGACAGCTGAGGTTGTCCTCTGTCCTCCACATGCATGCACACATAGGTGCAGCCATGCTTTTATACTCAGGTGCACCTGTACACACATAAACATGTATACAGATGTACACAAAGATACACACAGAGAGAAACTGGTGTGATCTTTAGGAGGATAGTTTTTGAGTATTTACCAACATTTTAATTGCACAAAATCTTTGTGTCATAAATTAAATTCTGGGCTGGGGTGTAAGCTAAAAATTTACAATCACAGGTAGGTAAAGCTCTACCTACAAAGACCACCATGACAGGCTGCATCAGTCACCCAGAGACAAGCCTACTTGGCTTACCTGTCTCTTCCCAGTGACTGTAGAAATGTTCACATACTCTCACTGCAAACACAGAATGCCTCTTACCCCAACATCTCTCTGCTTCCCAGAGTGCTTTGCAAGTCCCCAGAAATACTTGCTCAACTAAGAGTACCCTGGGAAAGGTTCAACTGCTTACTGGGCCAGCCCCATGAGACATCTGATGTCACCCACATCTAGGGGAATTACACAAGGGCTGAGATGGAATTTCATTTGACACTTTCAGCCATCCTCTGTGCTTTTGCCAAAGACTGCAAACTCTCTATAAAACTGCCAAACCCAACATCTCTTCACTAAGCCATGACCCCCCCCACTTCATCCAAGGGCAAGACGCCAGACCACTATGCATAACTAACTGTGACAATCAGGCCTAGGAGAGCCCCTAAGTGCTGCTGGACCAGGGAAGACCTGAAACAGGGAAGGAGATCCTCTCTGCTCTGACCTCTGGTTCTGAAGGGCAGCTATAACTGCGTCACGGAGACAGGATAGAGACACATCCTGTCTGAGTTAGTAGCAAGAAGTAGGGTCCTAAGTTTCTCCCACAGCAGGAACTCTGCCATAAATCAAATGGGGGAGGGTAATCTGGAGTAGTGTACAAGCAAAGGCTGTATCCTCATTCATTCTGGGAGGGAGGTGTTTGCAGATGTTGATCAATTGAGGTTTGAAATGGGAATCCCAGAGAATTGTTTTGGGGGTCAGGGGATCCTCTCAGACCAAGGAGTGGCTACAACTTCCTCATTGTGCAAAGTGAAATGAATATAGCTGTATCTATCTTCCCTTTCTTTAACCCAGGCCTGATGCATGTGCACCCACAGGTAGATGTGTGTACACACAGATGAACTCGAGTCAGTGTTAGTGAGGAGGTGGGCAAGAAGCCCCAGCCCTAGCTGAGGAGCTACTGGCAATTGATAGCTGCTGGCAGAGGGAGAGACGGTTTTCTTTAAGGATATGATGCTGAGAAGGTTGACCAGGCTCCAAGGGACAGATCCATACCAAAAAGCATTTGGGGAACACAAATTAGATTCAATAAGGTCTTGAAAAAAACAACAGAGGACACAAAGTCCATGAGGGAGGGTAGTAAGGTGAGGCTGGAGATGAGGGAGTGGGTCTGAATAGGATCAAAATATTGTATGAAATTCTTAACGAATCAATAAAAATATTTTTTAAAAAGAACTTGAGTCATGCACACACTTAAATACACAAACGCATGGGAACTCAGGGCTCCACACTCTCCGGTAAAGTAAACGTCAAGGTGTTGGACATTTCTGAACACAGCTGAGTTACTTGTATCTCCTTAAAACCAATGAGATTCCAACTTTGTAAATTCTTAAAACCATTGATTCCAGCTTTGAAGATACTGAAACTGGAGCAGAGACAGGTTTACATGCTGATGATTCCTGTACAGGCAACGAGGTGAATGCATGGCTGCTGTAGTGTGCTCCCACAGCCACAGACCACACATCATCAACCATAATACCTACTCCACACATGTGAGACTGGGGCCCAGGGAAACCTCCACCACATGCATTTCAAGGACTTAACAAAGAGTAGTGGCAGTCTGGGGATGTAGCTTAGCTGGTAGAGAGCTTGCCCAGCATGCCCAGGGCCCTGAGCTCCATTCAAGGTACTGCATAAGCCCAGTGTGGTAGCACATGCCTGTAATTACAGTTACTAATGAGGTAAAGGCAGGAGGATCAGGATCAGAAGTTCTCAGTCATCTTTATATGGCCTGCTCAAGCCAACCTGAATTACACAAGCTGTGTTTAAAAAAAAGTGTCTCCACTATCCCTTGTTACCCTGTTAGTAATTTAATAAAATCACCTTATACGCTCTGAGTAGCTTCTCTTTGACAGTTTCTAGCCATCAGACCTACCACCAAGGTGAGGTGTAACATGAATAAACAGTCATGTTCTTTTAAGAATAAAACTTTAGCTTGCCAAAGCCCAAGAGCAAAGAAGGCAGGGCGGGCAGGAGAGGGGAGAGAAAAGAGGGGAGAGGGGAGAGGCCCAGAAATGTTTTTAGTATCCCCAAAGAACCTCATCGCCCATGTCACCAAGAAAGTGAAAGTTAAAAAAAAAAAAAAGCAAGCAGCTTTATTTTTTCACAGTCCCCCAAATAGTCAAGAGTAACGGATCCCGGCAGGGTCCGCACCTCTCCCAGAGCCTGCAGGAGTCCAGGAGCTAGGGCGCCAGAGGGAAGGGAGGAACTGCTGGAGTTTCAGGGAGTTTTCCCAGATTAGGGGCCGGATTCCCTGGTGCGACCCGACCCTGGCGGGGCTACAGTTTGTGTTGCCTAGTCTCAGTAGCTGAAGGCTTGGTAACTCCCTCCCTCTGGTCCCAGACCCTTCCCAGGCCCCACCGTAAAAAAGAAACTGACCAGGCAGGCCAGGAACCCTATGGTGGCCTCGCCAGGCAGGGCGCCATCCTCCCGACCAGGGCGTCCGGCCTGCGGCCCCGGGGTCTCGGGCCCCACGGCGCTCGGTGCACTACCATGCGGGCGGTGGCTGGCCTGGGATCCCGGACGGTCTCCGGGCACTCACCGGGGTTCGGGGACAGGGACGTGTCGTTGGGGCTGCTCATCGCCTTCTGGGTGGGCGCAGCGGTGGCGACCTGCCTAGGACGATACGCGGCGGCGGGGGTTCCCAAGGCGCCCGGACCACGCGAGTTCTGCACCTGGGGCGCTGCTTGCTCCGCGCGACTGGCCGAGGGGAGGGACTCCCGCCCCAGGACAGGCACATTTCAGTTATTTTTTCTACAACTTGGCCATGAGGTTTCCACCCTTTTTTTTTTTTTTTTTTTTGACACACACTCTAAGGCATTTTATTACAAAAATTGGTAATATACAGTCATCATAGGAACTTGAAATTCATCATACATTTACTTCATTTTTAAGCTTGACCTTCTAGTAAATCTTTAGCTTCATTGATTTTTGGCTGCTGTGTAAGGAGACCCTCCTTTGTCTGGATGACACCCGCCCACTTCCGAACTCTTTCTTCCGCGCTCTTTTTTGCGCCAGGCTCGAAGTTTGCCCTGTCAGTTTCCATCTGTCACTACCCGATAGGGAGGTTGTGGTTCCAATCACCCCCAGCGCTCCCTGAAAATCTCCCAGATGTGACCCAGTGGCCTGGCTGGGCACTGTCCAATCAGAGACAAACCTGCGTTTCAAGTCTGTTCCGCTGTTTGGTTGTTGCTTAGCCAGAGACAACCTAGACAGGCTTTACCTTTTAAAAATTATTCCTTTTAATTAACATTAATAGCTGTGTATTTATGGGGTATGGTGCAATATTTCAATACACGAATAGGCTGATGGTGGTGATTGGGAGTCCTAACTCCTTAGCACTGTTTTACATTTGGTCTACAGCTTTACACTGACCCCCATGCCACTGTGTGTGTGTGTGTGTGTGTGTGTGTGTGTGCGTGTGTGTGTGTGTGTGTGTGAAATACAGCCACACTTCTGTGCTTTATAAACTAACAATTGAATTTTCTATTTGTGTAGCGTTGGCACTGCTTATTCAGCCTTCTTTTCTCTCCTCCCTGTTCTCTTCTGAGCCACTAATAATTACTAGACTTTTCTACTTTGAGATGCTTTCAGATTTTGCAAGAGAGAGGGAATGTGTTGTATTTGGCTTTCTGTCTGTGTCTTAGTTTATGTAACACGATGCTCTCCACCTCCATCCATTCTGTGGCACCTGACAGGCGCATTCCTTACATGGCTGAATGATAAATATTATTACTACAGAAATAGTAGTGTGTACTACACTTTCTTTAACTGTTCCTGCCTCACCCATCAGTGAATGCCTAGGTTCATTCTGTTTCTTGGCTATTATGAATAGTGTTATAATAAACACTAGGATGCGGCTCCTTGATATGCTGATTCCATTTTTTTTAGCTATGTATGCAACAATGAGACAGCTGGGTAGCATGGTAGTTGTATTTCTAGTTTGTAAGCATTTTTATTATTTTGTGGGGAAGGCAGCAGCATGCTCCTATTATAGTGCATGTGTGGAGCTCAGAGGACAACTTGCAGGAGTCAGTGCTCTCCTTCTACCATGTGGGGCCCAGGAATTAAACTCTAGTCATCAGGCTTGGCAGCAAGCACCTTTACCTGCTAAGCCACTGGCTGGCCTCTGTTTCTTGTTTTTGTAGTCTCTACACTGTTTTCCATACAACCTGTTAAGTTTTCTCATAAAAGTGTGTAAAATCAGAGACATTGCCAACATTCTCTTGTCATTTGCTTCTTTAATAATGGTCATTCTGACCGAGGTGATATGACATCTTTTTTGTGGTTTTGATTTCTTTTCCTTGATGACTTGTGAGGGTATATACTTTTTTTAAATCTACTTATTGACCATTTCTACTTCCTTCTTTAAAAATTTCAGATTATTTGCTAATACTTTGTTAGTGTTGTTGCTAAGTGTTTTGTACTTAACCATACTGAATATCAAATAATTATGAACACAGAAAAGGCACCTGGTAGAAGTTGACAATATGTACTGTACAACTTGGCATTTTGTTTTATAATACATAAATGTCCATGTGGGACAATAATATCCCACTGTACCTGGATTTCATAAATAAAATGAACTCTGGTATGTGAGGTACATCTGGAGAGCTGGAAAGAAGCTGACAGTCAAAGAACAAGTCACCTGGTGATTGCTCTTCTCAAGAACTCACTTAGAATCACTGACCTTAAAGCTGAAGGTAGAACTATAATGTGACCCAGCTGTACCATCCCTAAGTGTATAGCTAACAGATTCTAAATCAGCCTACCTCAGAGATGCCTATGAATTCATGTTTACTGATGCCCTATATTCATAGTAGCCAACGAGAGGCGTCATCCTAGATGCCCATTACAAATAAATGGAAAAAGAATCTGATACACACACACACAGACACACACACACACACACAATTTTTTAAACTTTTAAAAAAATTTATTATTTTTATTTTATGTGTATTAGTGTATTGCCTGCATGTAGGTAAGTGCACCTGTGTCATGTGATACCTGAGGAGGTCAAAAGATGCTGTCAGATCCCCTGGAACTGGAGTTACAGACAGTTGTTAGCTGCCATGTGGGTGCTGGGATTCGAACCCGGGTCTTCCGCAAGAACAACCAGTGTTCTTAACTGCTAAGCCATCTCTCCAGCCCCAAGGAGACTGAAGAGATGGCCCTCAATTGTGGGTGCTGGGAACCAAACTCTTATTATTTTTTTTTTCTGGTTTTTAGCCTGAGTCTTTAATGGCCGAGCTATCCCTCCAGTCCTATATATGAGTTTTGTTTATATAGCTGCAAAGAAGGAATTCATGTCATTTGCAAGAAAGTGGCTAGAACTGGAGATTTTTCTGTAAAGAGAAGTAAGCCAGATTCAGAAAGACAAACACTTTGTGTTTTTTTTTTTTTTTCCCATGCGCAGAATCTAAATTTAAGTGCATGACACAAAATAGAATGGGGCCTGTGAGTGGGATGGAAGAAGTCTAGGGAGGTCACCACAGCACAGTGATATCCATGAATGAACATGCCAGAGTGAAGCCCATTATTCTGTATCCTGATTTAAAAAACAAAGCAGAAAAGTACCTATTGGCTAAGACATGACCATGAAGGATTCTCTCATTTAATTTCTCAGGGTAGGACAAGTTAAAAGTACTATATCCAGGGGCTGGAGAGATGGCTCAGTGGTTAAGAACACTGGCTGTTCTTGCAGAAGACCCGGGTTTGAATCCCAGCACCCACATGGCAGCTAACAACTGTCCATAACTCCAGTTCCAGGGGATCTGACAGCCTCTTCTGTCCTCCAAAGGCATTGCATGACACAGGTTCACTTACTTACATACAAGCAATGCATGCATACACATAAAATTAAAAAAAAAGCAGCAGTTTTATGCACCTAAAACATGTAAGCTCCAGCCACAACTGGTCATGTGACCATGCTCTGCACTGTCAAGAACCCATGACTTTAGGACAGGGTCTATCTGGGGTAGTCTTTACTAGCTTGAGAGACTTCATCATCCTGCTCCATTTCTCTGAGCCCAAATTTTCTCATTTAGGGAACTGAAGTAATCTGCCAAGTTAGGTTTGTTGTAACACATTAGTTAATAATTAATGAGATTATATAGTGTCTTAGGTTACAGGAGCTACTTATGGTATTGGTCCCCTTCCTGCTCTGAGCCACAGTGTTTATAGTAAGGGGTCTAGAAGTAAAGGCTTCAAAAGGAAGGAAAATAACTGTTTAATAATGACTAGTAATCTAGCTAGCCGTAAAACAATAGATGGATGAAGTTTAGAAAACTTAACCATAGGTATTGGGGAATAGCTCATTGGATAAAGTGCTTGCTCTACAAGCATGAAGATCTAAGGTTGATTACAGAACCTACTTAAAAGAGCCTGGCTTAGTGCCATGCATTTGTATCCCAGACTGGGGAGGTGGAGATAGGTAGATCCCTGGGGCTCACTGGCCAGCCAGCCTAGACTACTCAGAAGGCCAAACTCCACGTTAGTGAGAGACCCGGACTCAAAAAACAAGGTGGATGGCAGCTAAAGTTCATCTCTGGCCTCACATGTGCACAGCTGTACAGCTGTACATGTGAACTTGTGCACACATGTGCACCTGCACACATGCATACACATAAACAAATTTGACCATCAAAATATGCAATTTTAATGGAATAAATGTTGTTTTAAGAAAGCACCAAGCCAGGTGTGGTGGTGCACGCCTTTAACCCCGGCACTCTGGAGGCAGAGGCAGGTGGATCTCTGTGAGTTCAAGGCCAGCCTGGTCTACATAATGAGTTCCAGGACAGCTGGGGCTACAGGGAGACCCTGTCTCAAAAAGACCAGAAAAAAAAAAGAAAAAAAAAGTACCAATAATATGAAAAACTGGATGACTATTTTGTTGCTGTGAAAAAAATACCATGACCAAAGGCAACTTAAGGAAGAGTTTATTTTGGCTTGTGTTTCCAGAGTTCTATATTGGGGAAGTCGTGGTGGCAGGAGCTAGAAGCTGAGGGATCACATTTGAACCATGCACACAGGAAGCAGAGAGAGTGAACTAGATGCGGGGCACTGCTATAAACTCTCAAAGCCCAACCCCAGTGATATAGTTCCTCCAACAAGGTTCTGCATCCTAAAAGTTCCATAACCTCCCCAAACAGCACCACCAACTGAGGACTAAGTGGTCAAATACAGGAGCCCATGGGGGACATTTTTCACCCTCTGAAAGGCAAAGGTGTGACTGAGCACTGGGACCTCCTTCTTCCTCCCTTCCCAGCACCAAGCAGCACAAGTACTGCTCTTAGGAAGGGAAGCCCATCATTTCTCTGCCCTAACAAGCAATCACTGATTGCTGGCCCCTTCTTAGAAGGAGGCTTTGAGCCCACCTGTCTCACATGCTTTCTCCTGGGTATTAGAGATGTTGCAGTAGCTCAATTGGGAGAGTGCTTGCCTAGCATGCATGAGGCCCTGGGTTCAATTCCTGGGACTGCATAAACCAGATGTGGTAGTACGTATTTGTAATTCTAGCATTTGTGAGGTAGAGGTAGGAGGTTCAGAAGTTTTAAATCATCCTTGGCCACATAGCAAACTTGAAGCCAGCCTGAGCTACATAGGATTCTGTTTCAAAAATATTTTTATGAAACAACCTTCACTTCACCCAAGGAAAGGTTTTTGTATAAAATAAATTCAAATGAAAGAGAAAAAGAAAAAGGAAACTAGACTCCTAACAGTTGCTCAAAATCTTCAGTGAATCAATGTTATTTAATTTTAGTCATTATTATGCAGCTGTGGATATTGGCTC